ATCTATATTTTATCAGATGAGTAAGTTGTGTTTGGCTGCATAAAAGATCTGATACTCATTATTGATCCAGTAAGTTTTATCTAAGGTGTTTGGAGTTGCCATACTAAGTTGACTCTGGAGGAACAAGATCAGTTTTCTTTTGTAATTGATGAACCCCACTATGTATTACTCCAGTTACACTAAACCATTAAACCATGTAATTCATTACAAAGGGCCCAGCTCTGAGAACCTCCTAATATCCAGAAATAATGGAGCTAAGTAGCCACATCCTCATAGGAACACAGCAGTGATCTTATATCTCACAAATATTGAAGAGAGTTGGGGTAAGGACACAGTTTACTGAAACCAGGTGGTGTAGAACTCTGTTTTGTTGGCCTGCCTGATGTCCGTTGTTCCTTCTGTTACAGAACCCTAATTTTGCATTTGGAAACTATTCTTTCTATTCTTAGTCCACTCCTTTTGGGATTATCAATGAAAGTACTCCATACTTTCCCCTAGTCAAGCAGTAGGCAAGAGATCTAAGCTAGGCTCAGTAGCTGTTCTCTTTATGCAGTTTCGTCTTGAGTAGAATGAAATAAAGTTTAGAGGAACCCAGAATAAAATGCTCATTAGCTCATCAGCTCATCCTGCCCACATCTCGACCCAGCCAGACCTGCTCTAGTTGTTACTCCCTTCAGATTTGGGATCCTCTTTTCCAGTGTATCTATTTGTTACCTCTATATCCTTCTAATAACTTCTAAGTACATGTTATTCAATTAGCAACTCACTGCTATCAGTTGGCAAGTCCCAGGTACCAAACCACTCCAGAATTCCATTTATTTAGTTCTTGGTTCTGTGAGTTGGAGTTGACACTGGGCTCAGCTGGGTAGTTTGTCTGCTCAGTTGGGTTTCCATCTCAGTCATCTGTAGTCATCCTGAGATCGACTGGGCAACTCTGCTTCTGGGCATTTGCTGGCTGGTAGCTGGGGCAACCTGCAGGGTGACAGAGGTGGGAAGAGTCCTAGACCATGTGTCTGTTGTCATCTAGCAGATTGGCCTGGGCCTATTCAGATGTCAGTGACAGGGTTCCAAGTGAAAAAGTGGAAATGTCTGAGGTCTCTTAAAGCCTCAGTCCAGACTGAAACAGAGTTACCTCAGCTATATTGTACTCACCAAATCAAGTCAGGAGGCCAGCCCAGATGCAAGAAGTGAAGCAGATGTGCATGGCCTCTTGATGGAAGTAGCTACAAAACTGCAATGCAAATGAGTGAGGATGCAGGAAGAGGAATGATTGAGGGCACTTAAACAATCTTCCATACCCCAAGTTGGTTTCTGTATCTTATAGCTAAAGAACCTGATATGCCAATCAAAACCCCTTTAAAAATACACGCTAAAACACTGGCCTGCTCTTTTTACTTTTTGATGTACCTGATTATAGGAGGTTTTGGGAGCCAAGTCAGTTCCTCTACAGCATACAAAATAGAAACAATCTCTTATCCTTAATCCCAGTATATTGTGTCTTCGGGAGATTGCTTACCTCTTGTCTGTAACCCTTTTAGCTGTGCGGCCTCAAAGGGTCATTACTGTCAGTTCTGTCATCTGCCAGGTCTCCTGAAATTTTGGTGTACACACAGTTACAACACACCAGCATGACTCTGTCACTCTACTATATGACTGTTTCCTGCTATATCTAGTATAGCACTTGCTAAAACATTTGAGTTTGCCTTTCTGGGATACATATTAGGCTTCTCTAATTTATGTTTTCCTTTTATGTAACAGCCTCTTGGTAAGCTATATCAAAGAGACAGTAAGGCAAATACTCATATTAATATACACTGCTGTAGGTGTTTCTTGCCAGTTTTCATCCAAGTTCTGACTCAACCTAGTCCTCTTTAGGTTTGTGAGATATAATAAGATCATAGCACAAGGGGGTATAGCTGCAGGCAGAAAATATGTTTTCTTAATAACAAGTTCATAAATTAATGTAGGGCACTGAGACACCGTGGCTGTATACATGCATTAAGACAGAGCTCTCTTCAGTTGACGACCTTCCCTTCCAACCACTAATTTCTGTGGGATGGTGCCAAACTCTTAGTCAAATGTATCCCAATGCATCCCACCCTCTCAATGTGAAACAACAATTAATAAGACTTTATGGATGAGGTGGTGTTCCACTTCCATTAATAACACTTATTATTCCAGGGTGTTTTAATTTGGTTATAAAAATTGACTCTAGGGGCGGAACTTGGCTTGGGAGCTTATTTTAAGGGCAAATGGTTTGTTTCTAATTTTTCTTTCAAAAGAAAAAGGCTTTTCTTTTTTTTCTAAAGGAAATTTTATGTAGCGTTTAGTTATACAAGCATGAGACCAAAATTCCTAAAATATTGGTATGATTACAGATTTTTAATTGATTTATTATTATCCTTTGGTATGTCAGGTAAAGCTGAGAGACGTCCCAGGGCTTCTCAGCTAGCTTGGAGTTGGCAGGCTCCAGCGCTCTGCATGTCATCAGTTGGGATTAGAGGGTGTTTCTTTTACATTGCTTCTCACACTTCAACATCCAATTCTCTTCTCAGGCAACAGTTTATACAAGCTACTGGCTGAACTGCATTTAATGATAAGAGGCAACTCATTTTTACATTGTATTTTGATGGATATTTTACTTTCTTATTACAGATCTACTGGAAGAGACCCAAAGAAAAGATGAAGAAATGGGATCTCTGCAGGTAAATTCTTAAATAGGGCAAGACTCCTTGGTATGAAAACATTTGTTTTCTGCTCTTTTATCCTTTATTGTTGTCACATTCATGCTGGTATAGCAAATGGGGTGACAAGGACAATGTCAGAACTATAAAGTTGGAATTTGCTTCCTTTAGATCAGTGCTTCTGAGAGCAGTGATCTAAAGCAGGAAGCCAAATCAGCATCTATGCTACTTTTGATAGGAAATTTTATTCCTTGGTATAGCATAACAGGAACTGCAGCATTAGGAAATGAAGACAGTATGCCTTCATAGTCATTTCCCTCAAAACAGGACTGATGAATGAGGATGAATTCATGGAATCTACATTTTCAAGTGAAAGTCAAAAGTATTCTGACCCCATGGGTGTCATCTACCAATGACCAACCAATTAACACCTAAATAGAGCTTAAGATTGCCTTATACAGCCTTTCAATTCAGTAGAGGTTTATTCACATTTCTTGGGCTGGAAAATTGTGTTAGAAAGATTCCACTCGAATTTTAATTGACACTTCCGTGAGCAATGGATGTTAAGTTGACATCTGACAGAAGTTCTCTCTTCCCTTCACATTGGGCTAACTTACAAATGGCTAACTCAAGTGTCTGTCTTTATTAGGGGGAACATAATCAGTTATATTCCCATGACAGAACCAATTCACTTAATGTCACGTTGAGGATTAAGAACAGTAAATACTTTGGACATTTAGAGTTCTTCATTGGCCTGGAGCTACAAGGCAAGACTGGAGAGTGATGTAATGAGCTGGTTTGAGTGCTTTAAGGGTAAAGATTTTTGCTTTTGGCAAATGAAAGATAGGCCACATAAAGTCCAAAGAGCAAGGGAAATGTTCTGTGATTGGGGATTCTTCTACTTGATGGTATATCCATTAAGAGAAAATTATATAATTGATCTGAAAATGCAGAGGAAGCATAGTTTATACATCTAATAAAAATGGTACATGTTAACTGTGGTTTTGTACAGATTAGATTATTTTAACATCTTGTACTATATTCAGGTATATATATGTTAAAAAAAAAAAGCATTGGTTGGTCCAGTCTGGGGCTAGGAAGAATCTCAAGTATATACTTGACCTGCCTATCTCTGTGAAACTAATATCAGCAATGCTTGTTGTTACAAAAAGCGTAGCTCTTTGTACACTAAATGTGTATATTGAGAAAGTCTTTTTAGGCCTTGTGGTTATGTGTTGTGTTTACCCAGAATAACATATATAAACATACTTATTAAGTGTATATCTGGCCTTTTGAAATGGCAGCACAAGTAATTTTTTCTTTCACAGTACAAATGTTGGAACTAGTAATCTCATTAAATTTAATAGCCTATGTTGCTTCTCAAATGTTTATTAAATACTGGCATCATTTTCTACTGAAATGTCCATCCAGTGCAATGGAATGCACCAGCCAACTAGCTATGGACATTTATAGTTGGAGAATGTGTAATTTGATGTCCCAGAGCAGAAGAGTTAAATGTTGACACTTTGTAGTGGTAACTGGTGCCTGACATTAACACTCTATTATGAATAAAGAAGGAACTCTCGGAATGTACAAGAGTACAGAAGCATATCACAGAAAGCCTTTAATGTTAAAGGTTAGAGGAAAATCCTTGGAAAAGTGCCTATATTCCTGATTTCTCTATTCACATATGAATATCAGAGATGATAGTTTGGAGAATACTATTCAAGTATACAGGCTGAAATCCTACAATGACACAATAGTACCTGGCTCTGTTTCTGATTCACTGGGTAACCTTGGATAACTCAATTGACTTTGCTGTGCCTATTTTCTCATCTGTAATAGAAAATCATAAAATTGTCTTCCGGAAGTGTTTAGTGTGGATTGGATGATCCCAGAAGGGAGAGCTAAATATTTAATTCCAATTTACAATGTTAGCACATCCTCATGTATCCAAATTGGAGTCAATTTTATTTACTCATTATCATCTTATAATTACGTATAACAGACATTCTGCATTTTATGCTATTCCCCTTAGGGGTAGGGGGTATTTTATTTAGCTCTAAACCCTTTACAATTTCCTATAAATGAGGTACTTTATTTACTCATTGAACAAACACTTACCATCACCAATTCTGTGCACACCACTGTACTAGGTGCTAGGGATACAAAGGTAAGCTGTGTATACTGGATGGCTTCTTGCCCTCTATGTTACAATTAGTGAAGACTATAAAAATCAGTTTTTATAATAAAATGCTCAAAAATCATATTAAAGGAAAAGTATAAGTGACTGTGGGAACATATCATAAGAACATCTGTCCTTGTTTGTCATAGGTAAGTGTAGGTTGACAGAACTGAAAGGGAATTAAGTACAGTTGAGGTAGGTTAAACTGGAGTGGGGTGGCAATCCAAGTAGGCTTCCCAGAGAAAGCCAATGTTGGAGTGATAACTAGGAGTTAGCTAGGCAAGTTTACAGTGAAGATAAAAGTTTTCAGCAGTGGAAAGGATAGGGGAAGGCCTAGGGTAAAAGAGCGCAGTTTCATGTCTAAGGAACTGAAAAGTTCAGTATATTGGAATATAGCATCTGAGAGAGGGGCAGCAAAACGAGAACTTTTTAAGTAAATGGAGGTCTAAAAGACCTTGTGGAGGAGTTTGGACTTTACCTTCAGTATATGAGAAGTTGGAAAAGGGTTTGAAATAAGAGAACAATATGGTAAGTCTGCATTTTAAAGAGATACCTGGCTGTAACGTGAAAAATAATTAGAGGCAGGCAAGATTGAAACCAGGGAGACCAATTAAGCAGATGTTTGTGAGATTCTCGGCAAGAGATGATGGTGACCTGGATTGGGTGGCATCAGAGAGCATGAAGAGGAGTGGGTGACTTCTTACTATGTTTTAGAATATGAAGTCCGTGGAACTTTGAGACTGGTTGTTAGGAAGTAAAAGGGAAGGAGTTAAGAATGATGCTTGGGTTTCTCGATTCAGCAGCTTCACAGATAGTTGTGCTTGTCAGTGATATAGGAGGAAGTTGATCCGTTCAGTTTTTGATATTTTGAAATGTCCAGGAGGTAATGTTAAGGTTGGTTCATATGAGTCTGGAGCTCAGAAGGTGTTTGATCTGAACATGCAGAATTTGATGCCATCATATCTGTTATCCATATCATAGGAATGATACTAAAAGTCATATAGCGAATGTGAACTCCCAGGGGAAGTATTTAGAATGAGGAGAAATGAAATCCTAGGCCAGAACCCTAGGAAACACCAACATTTAAACAACAGGCTAAGGATGAAAAT